AAAAAAAAAAAAAAAAAAAAAAAGCCACTTAATATACAATATGCTATTTTACACCGGCGGTTTTCAAACCAGGGAATCGCGATTTGCTCTATTGCCCTTTTTGTATTCGAGTAAACGCGATTTCGAGGGCGGAACTCTTTTTTTTGCCAAAACGAACCTTTCACTTTTCGGCCAGTACCTACGCTATTTTGGTCACCAATGTAAGATTACATGGGGCGATCGCCTTCTCTGTATGTACGTAGGTAACTATTTGGTATTTTCAAAATATTTCGATTTCGTATAGGTACGATATAATGGAAAAAAAAAAAGAATTTTAAAACTGTACCTATTTTCGTAATTTTCAATAATAAAACAAAAAATAAAACTGTTTAAACGATTCATGGGGAAAAAAAAAAATGTTTGCTGGTCATCGGAATATGATGGTCGAAAAGTATTTAGTTCATTTCAATTATGCAACACGAACGCAGCAAGTAGACGCAAAAATGTTTTAAATCCAATCATTTTGTTTTATTTTAAATTTATTTCATAATATAGTTTTCTTAATTGTTGCACACATCATGGATATCAAAAAGAAGAGAGAAATTATTAAAATTGTTTGCAGAGGTACTTAATTCGGGGTTTTTTTTTTTTTTGAATTTAAAAACTTACCTTGGTGACCAAAATACCGTACTGGCCGAAAAGGGAAAGGTCCGTTACGGCCCGAAAACGGTTCCGTCCGATTTTCGTAGGGGTCGCCTTACGCGAACGGGAAAATCACAGGGTCGCGATTATTCGTAAAACGAATTATCGACGGCGTTTTGTTAAAAGGTCCGTGTACCACTGAAACGCATTTTTTCGGGACGCGAAAAAAAAAAAAAAAAAACACAAACGGTTTTGCGAAGAGACGTTTACCGCGGAAAACAATAAAATTACTCGCGCGCAAACTCGGACGTGGTATACGCGCCCTTTTAGCAAATCAGTGTCGGTTTGATTACGGTTTAAAAGGGTGCCTGGATATATTTTAGTCGACAATTACCGACGCATAATTGTCGGGTATTTAAACACGGCCCTTCTACCAGTTTACGCTCGTAATTTTTCTCTTTTTTTCTTTTTTTCTCTACAAAACACCGTCGATGTGTTGAAAACCGTCGCTTTACACCGCAACGGAACTGTTGTCGCGGGGAGCTATGCCGGACGCACACGGCAACAGGTCATTCAATGATCGCAAACCGAAAACGTACTTGGTGTCCACTCTGGACAAATGAAGCACTCTGGACTTGCCCGAGCCGCACGGTTCGATCAGATACCTGCTGGCCAGCACGATGCCCCGGACCGCGCCCTTGGGCAGTTTGGCGTCCTGGTGTTCGACAGACGTCTCGACCACCGCGCACCCGCCTTTGTTGAGGTCCGTCCGCCACGACCGGACCACGCAGTAGTCTTTGGTCGGGTGCGGTTCCATCGCCGCGTTGCTGTACTGGTACAGTTCCGCCTGCCCGTCCATTTTCATCACCACCCTGGCCGACACCAACCGCTCGTCCCACACGTGTCTCTCCCACAGCACCCGGGTCAGCACCACCGTCGGCGGGGCCTCCACCTCGGTGCACACCCGCCACAGTCTCAGTGGGTGTCCGTCGCCGACTTTCTTGTACGATATGTCCACGTTTTCGAAACTGCCGACCGCGATCCATCCCCTGTTCCTGAAACGCGGCATTACGAATGATGTTACGACAACGCGAAAAACCGCAAACGAGTGTTCCGGTTTTTGATCGGTGTGTGATCGTAGTGTGAAAACGTTTTTTTTTTTTTGTGTTTTGTGTTTTAGTTTTTATATCGGTATCACGCTTACTTGTCTTTGACCTCTTTGAGGAGCGCGGACGTGCAAACGTTCAGGTAACCTTTCCAGTCGTGGCCCATTTCCGCGCCGAGGTCTTCCAGGCTTATCGGTATGCTCTCGTCCATGTAACTAAAGTGACACTGGCTCATTATGTCCTCGGACATCTGTAAACGGATTCATAGTTATAGTGATAAATACGAGACACCAAGTAAGTAGGTCGCGTCGCGGAAACCTCCTCATAGAAGTAAACAAAACCGAAAAAAAGACGGATATACTTCGCACGGTGGGTGGACCACCGTTATAGGTAAGACGGTAGAAATTTAATGTATATCCGTGTGCAACGATTAACCGTTGCTTGCGGAAAACTATTCTGAGCGGAGTTCGGTTCATAGTGTTGCTTTGTCAACGGTATATACCTAAGCCGTAATACGGCGACTAGTGGTAAAATAATAACATATATGCATTATATATTTTCTTCAATAATATTTGTTTAATATCGTACACCTATTTTCCCGATATTCCTCAGTTTTTCCCCGTTTATTGGGAAAACTCCCGGGAAAATCGGAAAAACTACGTCCCGGTCGGATTCCCTTTCAGAAAAAGCGCTACACTTGTAAATCGGAGCAAGATCACTGGTAGAAAAGCTGTTCGCGGGAAAAATAAAACGAAAGAGAAAACACCATTGCACGACCAATACATTCCTCGCCCCGCTCAGAATCTAAACGCGAAAAACACGTTTCGAATCCCGCGACCGCGCTCTTTTCGCATCGAGAGTGATGATAAATATTACGATCGCAATAAAACGTACGACAAACAGTTGGTGATACTGCTTGATGAGGAACAACAGGCAGTCGTGGGCGGCCTTGTTTTGGCCGAGCTGCTTCGAGTCGGGCAGACCGATGATGGCGGACGACTGGTTCCGGCGCGGCGACACGGACGACGACCGCTGCGTCGTGACGGGGCTCGGCGGGGTCGAACCGACGGCGCCGGGGCTGCCGTGGGACAACGACGACGACGACGACCCGTTGCCGCCCATGTGGAACAGCGACGGGGCCAGGCAGACGGCCAAGTTGCTGGCGGACATCTGGTTCACGGCGCTCTTGGCCGACACCCGCGACAAAAAGTCCAGCAACGTGAACAGCGCCTCGCGGTGTTCGTCCGGCAACAGCAGCACGGTACAGTGGACCGCTTCCTTTTGCAAGTACACCGGCACGTCTGGAACAAACGAAAAACACGTTATCATCTACAAATCGAAAATCTATGTAATACACACTAGGTTTGGGTTGTCGTAAAAGTTACCAAGTACCGACCGGGACATTTACGAAAAAATGATTACAATATAAATTTCGACACATCAAAATTAAATCATGTTTTTTCTTCTCTCCAAAATAACGGGTTCTCGAAAGAAACGTAACTATTTGTCGTGCGTTATGTTTTTTTTTATTCCGATCTTCGTCGACTTTCCGTTTGTCAATGAAGTTTTTAAGGTACAATATTTCTCCAAAGCAACTATACATTATGAATACATTTTTCTTTTAAATAAGCCATTGCCTTTTCAACGTCTTGCCGTTGCAGCAAGTTGAAAATAAATTAGGAAATTGAAAATAAAATCAATAACGGTTCATAAATAATCCAATAAACAATTAACGATGCAGAATAAATGCTAAAATATGTTTAGCCCACTGACCCTTTTATCAAACGTCGACCCGTGGCATTTCGACAATATTATGTATCAGATTTCCGAAAATCGTATTTTCTCTCGCTTTTATTTCCCGCCGTTTTCTAATTGCGGTCGGCCTACATCGCAGTGGCGTAAAAATAGAACTTCGAAAGAAAAAAAGGTCATTCAAAAAGACCCTCGCCTGTTGTGTCCAATAATGCCTCGGGCTCTGGGCAAGGCCACACTGCATTCATCGGACCCGTGGCGTTTGGCCTCCCAGTGTGCACGCCACTAGCCTATATAATACTCGCCTCATCAATTACACTTATTATCGAAATTTAAACCGAACGCCTTTCGTACCCGCGGACAGTGATGTCCGTTACGGTCTTTACACCCTGGATTATAATCCACTTATTTTGAATTTTCGAGAGGAAACCGGGGGCATCGGGGCGAAAACGGCAAACTGTACTCACGTTGAAAGATCGCGATGAAACTCTCGGACAGTTTGTTGGTGAGCAGAGCTTCCGGCAACTCGCGGAAATACTGTTTGACCATGTCGGCCACGTCGTACGCTTGATGGTTTTCGAATTTCACGTTGTCCGGGTCCGACTCGGCCAGTTGTTTGAGCCGCTGTATGCGGGACTTGACGCCGGGCTTCCGGAACAGGCCCACGTGGTCGAGCGCGTTGTCTTCGAGCCACCGGAACGCGGATTGAATGAACGGCGGCAACGCGGAACCGTTTTTTTGCACGTTCGTGATCAACGGAACGCCGAAAACGGTCTTGTCTGAAAAAAAAAAAAAAAAAGATATAAAAATCGAGTAGGTGTTATTGGCGAACAACGTTTAATTGTAATACTCGTAAATGAATCTATATAAAAATGTATATATATGTACACGGTGGCGTGCCAAAGAAGGGGTTTTTTTTTCCTTCCCCCCCGAGGCAATCGCCTCATGACTAAAACGGGGGTGGTGGTGGTGCACGGACGGACGGTGACCAAATATCACGGAATGTCGGATGAAATCGACTTAGTCCGGAGATCAGAGACGCCCGTCGGGGTTTATTGGGTGTATTGCGTTATTAATCCGCCTATACGGCGCGGACGTCGCGCAGTCCGTAATATCACGCGGTCGATTTGGCCAAACGCGTTTTTCGCCGCAAGAGAAATGATTTATAGGACGCGATATAAAAATCCACGTCTAGAGTGGGTGGGTTTTGTTTTGTTTTATTTTTTTTTTTTATTTTTTCGTTTCGCCGAAAAACGTTGTCGGCGCGCCACTGTACGCGTACGCGTAAAAGGAGAGTCGTAAAATATTGGCACAAGTCTGGAGTCGGTCACTCAATGCGTGGCGTGGCCGACTCCAATGCCAATAGACCGAACCGCTGGACCTGTACAACGGCGACTTGACGTATGAGGCGGTGCACATCTTTCACTGCAGTTTTGTACGGGCGAGATCGGAAACGATTCTTTTTTTTTTTTTAAAATGAATTACCATCTAAGGGCGGGTCGCGTAATGATCAGCCCCTGTAATTTTACTAACGAGCCTGTAACTAACCGAGCTACGTAACGTTTTGATGGCGCGGGAAAAAAAAATTGAGTTCCATAAAAGATTTGTACTTTATTGGTGACCGCGGTTACCAAATAAATTATACCACGTTTTATTTGATTACAATGATTACTGATTACGTTATCGAGTGTCGATTAACAATAATAAAAAATAAATATTCGGAAAGAATACTCCGACCGCAGTTGATATTATAACATTTGTTTGATCTTTGATGATGGCTCCAAAAAGGGTATGGTAGACACAATTTTACCGAACGAGTAAAAGCGATATTAATGGAATTGATAATTCCACATAAGGATATAATTGAGAATATTCGGTTGACAGGTTAACTTAATTATAAATAACGATAGGTTGTGGGCAAGGTAAAAAATCAATAGGAATTCAAAATCGATTTTGTTAATGTCAAAAAAAAAAA